CCATACAGGCCTTCAGGTTGTGGTTATTGCCCTCAATGTCTTTCATCAACTGATTAAACATCTGTTTTTACACCAATTAAATCAAAGTATAAATTAATTGTTATTTAAATGTATAAAATATGATTAGCAAATATTCACATACTTGTCCCAATTCATCTATATCAAGGTTCACTTCTTGTAGTTCCCGCAAAACCTCCGGTGCGATCAACCCATTCAAGTCGTGTCCATAATTTTTTGTACAATTAGTGCCCGAATAGCAAAGAATTGCCAAAACAAGACACAATCCGAAGAGTGGATTCATTTTGACAAATCTAATGAATAACTGCTGGCATTTGATTTCATTGCGAGTCTTTTTATGGATTAATTCTTATCACTAAAGAATACCAACAAAATTAAGTGATTATTTTGTTAAGATTTTCTGTTTAACGTTTAGATTGTTTTTGATTAGACAATTACATTTATTAATTATATTCATCAACAACAAGTTATATCATACATTTAAAAATAAATTTATAAATTGTTAAACCTATAAATATTATATATGAGAGAATGTGCAATATAAGTATGTAAATTAATGTTAAGAATATACATGTATAAGGCGAAATCATCAGTTATGTTTAGGACATTAATACATGATTAGTTCAAAAGAGTACTGTTAATTATTACATGGTCAAATCCTTAAATTAAGCTTATAACTCGAGTCATATGATTACACGATCAGTGTTTTTATCGTCGATTGAGTAAAACATTAATACAAGAATTTGATAAATGGCTTAAACACTCGTATAATAAACAAATTCTTGAAACCAACTGAGGTATGAATATAAGCCATAGTTTTGATATGAATGCAAACTAATAGTAATTCTCGGAAAAAATTATATTAATGAGAGAATCACATAAGAAATTCATAGAAAGCGTATTTAAGCAAAGATTAATAATTATTACATTTTAACATTATTATATAAAGTTTACAAAGTTAATAAAGTTGAGTACACAGTATAGGAAAGCACTAAACAAAATAACTAATTTTTGTTGTCATAATTCCTTATACAGTATTTGTAGTTTTAAAAAAATGTTTTGTAAAAATAATATTTTAAATTACTGTTTGATAAAATTTAATATTAACTTTAACTCGTTATTTGATCTAGCAAATCTTATAATATATTTAGTCATTTGAAAACCTATTATACTTTGGTATTTCTAGTGCACTTAAAATTATAAAATAGCATCATAATTAGTTTTGATGCCGGAATATTTCACAGTACATCAGTCAATATAATGTATTTCTAGGAAGGGGTCCAAGTTTTTGCTAATATTCTAGCTAAACATACCTGTTAATTAATGTATCTATCAATCTAGACCAGGTACAGCCACAGATAGCATTCAGATAGCACTAATGCATTAAAACTAATGTAAAGTCTATGGGTGTATATAGGCAAAGCCTACTTTTGGCTGTTAATGATCTACCGTCATATAGATATTAAGCTAAGCAAAGTATATATGGGGGAAATTTATTTCAAATACAATATAGTTTTTCTTCATTGACAACGAAAAACTTTTTTAAACATATTTTTGAAACCAATTATGTGTCAAATCATTTGTTGTGACAATTTTTTGTTTGCTTAGACACTGAATTGTAGCAGAAATTCACTGTGAGTGACATATTTTTTACCCACAGACAATATTTCTCAAGTGCTAATAATATATGCTGGTCCATGTAATATTGTGTGTAGAATCTACACTGTAGATGTTTCAAAGTAATATAATTGCAAAATTAGAAATTATTTTTTTACAACAAAATATTTTATAATAATAATAATTTGTATTCAAGAACTAGTCTTAAACGCAATACAATGTATTACAAAGAGTCATTTTACAAATTTGGTTATAATTATTTTTATTTCGTATAAGTTTTGGTAATTTATTAAATAGTTTTATACAATTGTAGTTTTTCTTTACTATTAAAATACGAATTTTTCGTATTTTACAAAATATACCGTTTCTGGAGTTTTCATAAAAATGTATTGTAAAGTTATTTCCCCAATATTTTATTTCCCCATTTGTTGTCAATTTTAAAACAATTATTTTTAATTCTAAAAAGTGTTTTCATTTGTTTATAAAAATAAGTCCAAAATAATAGTGTATTATTTACAGTTTATTCTAGTTTTAAAGCTATATTGAAATCAAATCATATTTATTTTCAAATTATAAATTATACATTATTCATAATTATTGTTTTATGGTTAAATGATATTTATAACATTTCTATGATATTTCTATATAAATTTATCATATTTATTGTTATTTGTTTTACAGAATATTTTTATTTATTAATAAATTATTTTTAAAAGGAATTATGCATACTTTTAAATCTGCATATTTGTGAATAAATATAATTTGCACACAAAATAAATTATAATTAAAGTCCAATTTGTGTTAAAGCCTACAAATAAATTTTAAATTATAGCAAACATTAAGTTTAAAACTCTAAGCTTTTAATTCATTAGTTTATTCCGTGAAATAAAAATGCTTTTATAAACATTAAAAGTTTTTAAATTTGAATCACGACTCAATTAATATTTATCGCAAAAATAAATATATTTAATTTATTTTTAAATAATATAAGCAATAAACAATATTCATCAAAAACAATCTTTATAAATTTATATTGCAAGACTTATATTTTTTATTAAAGTAGATTTAAGTGAATTTATATTAAATTTCTGTAATAAAAATTTGATAAATGATAATATTCTACACTTTAATATCAATAGCACTGAAAATATTGGGTAATTATTGTAGATTCCGATTGTTGTGAGGAATTTGTGTTGTTTTGTAAATCTTATGACATATACATTACAGTTAAACAAATGCTTAACGTTAAGCCTATTATTGAAACTGTGGTCTAATGTGCAAAAGTACTAACAAAACAGGGATTTTATGAAAATATTTTCTGATAAGAATTAAAGGATATGTCGATTAAATCACATGTTATTAAATGAAACCAATCAATTGTTGTTTAATTATATTTAGCATCATTTGAGCTAATGTTTTGCAATTTTTATAAATTTATTTGCATACTTTCAGATAAATAATTTTGATAGATTATATAATAGTGCTACAGTTGTTTAACATTTTATTATTAAACGTTTGGTTTGCAATAATAATTATTAATGACATATTAATTGCATTTAAACATGTAGTTTATGGATGTGATTGTTAATTACAAATTGATTTAAGACTTGATTTTTTAATTCTAAAATTCAAAGTTTAGAGAAAAGGAAAACTTTTATAATCTCAGTAATACAATAGTATGGCATATGTATACTGTATCAAATTTAATATTAGTTAATTAAACAAAAGAAAATTTACAATAAATATTAAATTATTTTCCAATCAATGTATAGACAAAATACGGGAACAGATATGCATTTGATTGGACTCAATCTTCAGTATCTAGACTTGACATACGAAGTTCATCTTGGTACATTCTCGCCTCACACTTAATCCATAAATATCTGTGAAACTAACAGACAATAAGACTGTAAATGAGATATTGAGAGATTTAATATAAGAGATTTTAACCGATTTTTGAGATAAAATTTAATGTATAAAAAGTCACTAAATGTCATCTCTGCTAACGTTAGCAGTTGTGCCCCAACTGATGGCAAACATGAATTCACTCATCAAATTGGGTCTAATTTTGGCCATTTTGTGCACTTCTGGCGCTTATTCTTATGAAACATCTGAACATGACTTAAATGCTATGATCGCCGAAATAGAGGCCACAATAACCATCGATGAATTGGGAGAGGTTTGTGTTTTAGCAAAAATTATCATAATAAAACAATTATCTAATAAATACAATGTATGTACTTTAATATATCGCTGGATCAGATGTTTTTCGAGATGTTTGAAAACGTCGAGTTCAATATACACGACAGGCAGGCGTGCGAGCGCTGCAACACTACCATCACATACAGTCGACTTCTCATACAATCGCCAGATCTGATCAAATCGTTGGCTCCAATCATGTGTAAGAAAGTTGTCGGACAAACAATCCGTGTCTGCGAGGGATTACTCGAGCGTATGTCCGAACCCCTGGCCTATCTCTTCCAACACACAAAACTCACTACACCTGAAATATGCGGCACTTTCTTGTCGCCTGACTGTATCACTCTGTTTGGTCTCCCCTTCACTCATAATGTAATTATATTATCTTATTATACATGTATAATGAGTTCGTTTAATGAATAACTAAATTATTAATTTATTTGTGATTACATTTAATTTTATTTGCAGATCAAATGGGAGTTACCTCTGCCTAAACGCAAACCATTCACACCAAAAGCTGTAAACGATAAACAGCTAAAAATGCTTCACTTGACTGACATTCACTTAGATTTATGGTATACTCCGGGCTCTAACTCTTCGTGCGGTGAATTTGTTTGCTGTCGATCCACATCTCCCGGGGATAACCATACGGCCGGCTATTGGTCTCAAACCAAAGACAACTGCGATTGTCCGCAATATTTTGTCGACAACTCAATCAAACAAATCGGTGACAATCATAAGGACATAGATCTAGTGATTTGGACGGGAGATAATATACCGCACGATGTCTGGAACACCACCAGAGATGTCAATCTACAGCACATCCGAGCCATGACTGACACGTTTAAGAAAACATTTGGCGATTTACCGGTGTTTCCCTGTTTGGGCAATCATGAGTCGCATCCCATTAACTTGTAAATAGGTTTCAATTGACTTTTGCACTTCATTAACGTTAATTACATGTATGGTTAGGTATGTTCCCGAAGAACTATCAATTAAAACACAGGGAAAGCTGTCTATGAAATGGCTTTACGACACTCTCGCCGACGATTATTGGAAACAATGGATAGACACCGAAGAGGCAAAGAAGACGTTCAAAAAGGGCGGCTATTATTCAAAGAGATTCAGCGATACATTGAAAGTGGTTGTAATGAATACAAATATGGCTCAGAATGAAAACTATTACATCGCTTACGATCCCATCGATCCGGACGGACAGCTCCAGTGGCTCATCGATGAGCTCAATAGCGCTGAAACTGACGGCTCGTATGTTATGTTATTAGGTAATTATTAAAAACCTACTTTTAGTTAATTAAATATTATTAGTATTAATTTACTGAATGTAATGCACTGTTAGGACATATCCCTCCCTCTGATTTATACGCCTCGTGGAGTCATAACTACTTCCGGATTATGGAAAGGTATCAACACTTGATTGTGAGCTCATATTTCGGTCACACACACAATGACGAGATCGTTGTCTTGTATAATAAAGACTTTGAAACCAATGGCACGTATGCCATATCTCACGGCTATATCGGCGCCAGTCTTACCACTTATACGCTGCTTAATCCCGGTTACAGAATATTCACAATAGATAGTAATGTATGTTATTTTTAAGCATTTATTTTTGAAATTTAATTTAATTTAAAATTAATTATCAATTATAGGGAAGACCTTTGGATTTTGATGTCTTCTACACTAATGTAACCGACGATAACATTAAAGGCCAACAAAAGCCTCCGAAATGGAGTTCAGATACGTCTGGGAAACAGATGTATGGAATGGACTCTCTGTCCACCGAATCGTGGGATCTGTTTATGTCAAGAGCCAAAACTGACGACAAACTCGTTAGAAGTTATGTCAATCATTACCACAGATTCAGTGATGACTTCATTCAAGACATGACAACAAAAGGTCGCTATAATATGACGGATATGAGAGACATTTTACTAACTAGGCAAATTCTTAATCCTTTCCATAAATTATTACCAAATAATTACAAATAAATAAATAAATTGATGGCTCACAACAAGTTTAATACCAGATATTATATATTAAATTTTCATATGAATGG